AAATTTATCCGCGAGTAAAACGCACCCAGCCATGCTCGAAATACACAAATTGTAACCTACAATGCCACCTACGAATTTGAATTAGAAAAACGGGCGATGTCAGTCAAAACGCTTGAATTTTAAACTGAAACAACATGTTAACCTAAATGTTGGTAAAAACACTTGCTTGAGAACATTCTCCCTCACATTTTGCATAGCCACTTATTTAAAATAGACAATCTATTTATACATAATTAAGCCTATTGAAAATGACGTCACATTTTTATGTGCTACTTATTGCTTCTTAGCCAGTCCCAGCAATTGGAAAAAGTAAATGTTTTTAAGACTTCAAATATCATAAGTTGTTGCCTTATTTCATACTTTAAGAAACAATCAAAACCGGGTGAAAGTTGTCACTCATAAAATTTATATTTAAAGAGAACTTAAATTACCTTTTGACAAAGGCAAGCATGTGAATTGTGCAAGGTGGGCTGCCTTTCCGCCAATGGAATTTTGTAGCAACCATTAGATTATTGTGGAACGATTTGGAGAAAAAAAGTAGAATCTTGAGAACTGTTTCGTCAATTTCTGTTGTAAACAAGAATGAGATGCATATGTATACCAGATTAACATACTCTTCTACAAAAATTGTTAAGAGAGACTTAGCGATGCAAAGATGCGGAAACGCTAGAAGAATTATGAAAGAAATGCCTGCTTGTTCAGAGGAATTGACTAGTCTCGATTAACAAATAATGAGGCTTTCTTGGTTAGCTCCGTAATGTTTTGTGGGAAAAGCTCTTGCATTAAGCGAACACGGTGTGTCTCATGCAGAATCATTGCTCATCATTGATGGAGGCCGCATCTAGGGCAGGGTAGAGAGTAGCCCAGAGCAGAAGATCATCCCGTCCGGTAAGTAAGTTTCGTCCGTCCTGTAAGATAAAAATTGAATCCTTTCCTCGCCCCGATTCTTTCAGAACTAACTAGCTTATCAATGTGACATGTGAGTGCAACCATTTACAGTCTCCGGCATTTTTGACGTTCTTAAAATATCTCTTTTTTTTTTGTTGCACAATAGGGGATAAAAACTCCGATATCAGATCGTAGACATAACTTCTTTTATATAGCAGATGCGTGTTGAAGAGTAGCATGTTTTCAGATGAAGTTTCATTAGTCAGATATTAGATCCTGTTCATTGACGTTGCAGTACGTTATTTTAACCGAAACTTTCGAATAATTCTCTCCATGTCCTCAGCATATATAAATCCCCGAAATTCGAATGGCATCCAAATACAATTGTAAATCTTTCTAGCGAGTAATCAAAGTTCTTATCTTATATCGAATTCTAGTTGGTTTGGATCGAAAGCAAATTACACCATTTTGTATAAATTTTGTGCAAATTTGTGTAACACGACCTTTTTTCTCTTTGCCTTCATTTTTATTAAAGTCATCCCCTGGCAAATTCGCTTAAAGTTGAAACCAAATCCTTGAAGAAAAAATCCTGGCACGTATACGATTAAAGTTTCAAAAACGTAAAAAGACGATTCAAGCACACCCTCGAATCAAAATAAAAAACCAATAAAAATTAAAATGAATACGTTTATAAAATAATAATGTAGAATAATAATGGGACGGTGATTTAACGCAACAGCAACACTATTGAATACAAATATGTAATAGAAATGTTAGAAAAACATTATATTGTCAGAAGCTCCTGCTAATCTAAGTTAAGAAAGAAAGGAAACGAAAGCATTCCATAGTAGGATGCTATGACTTAAAAAAAGAAAAAATCAAAAAAAAAAAAAAAAAACGAATAAAACGAAAAGATATGTAAACAACATTTATTTATAATTTAAGAAAAAAAAAAAAAAAAAAAAACACTAAAACAATTTCCTGAAAAAGAAGATTTAAGAAATATATATTCACTATATGCATACATCTCCTCTAAATAAGTATATACGCACAGACAACAACTACCTGTTTACGATGGGCTTCATTTTTTCCAAAAAATTATTTAAGAAAAACTCTATATATATATATAAGTATTTACTTTATATAAAAACCATACATTTGTTGTTGTATTTCATTTTATATAAAAATCATTTGTTCATATAGTTGCGATTCATTTGCTCCTGTTAGGCATTACAGCCAAAACATCTATTACACTTGTACACCCCAAACGCATAAATCTTATAACCGAAAAGGCGGAGCTAATAGTTACGGCTAAATAGGATAGAGATATATTCGAATTTCGAAAACTATACTGCTATTACAGTTACACTCATCCACGTAAATGGAGAAGAGCCGGCAAAATGATTTACAATTTTCGAATTTAAGCGATTCATTGTATTTTAAAGAGCAGTGAATTGAGTGGATAGTAAAAATAAGTGACGGAAAGATTTATTAATTGAAATAAAGGATGAAAACTCTTTTTCCTCTTTATTATTATTATTATTATTATTATAATTTTTTTTTTTTTTTTGTTATACTTAACCGGCGTTTTTGAATTGCGAATTCAGAGCGTAGGTTAAATTTAAACGGGTAAAAGTGAAATTTTTATGTCAAAAAAGTAACGGATGTGCGTTGAATGTTATATATAATCTAAAAAATATTGTTAAAAATAATGAAAAAAAAAAGAAGCAAATGTCAATGTTAAAAATTATAATATTAAAGTAAATAACTTAAAAAAAAAAAAAAAAAACATACATTATAGTGATATAATATTAAAAAAATATATAAAAAATTCGTATTTACAAAAAGGCTAGCAATAGTAGGAAAATGAAGTACGAAAAGATTACTAAAATATTCCAGACATCAGTGTTTATTCTGTACAGTGACTACATCGAATTCGTTTATGGTCGTCCTACTCGGGCTGGTCTCAGTTATTATTACTTTTAAACTAACTTTCAATATGGCTTTCGTAAATATTTGTGTCAACCTTTAGATTACTATGTATTGGTTGCTAGTATATATATATAATAATTATTTTTTAAATATTTATTTGATGAAGTTTTCTAGTTATTAAAAATTTTGTTTGGCTTTGTAAGACTTTGACACCGATTCTTTAACTTGAGAACATAACACAAGGTCTCCTTTCTAATTTTACGGCCGTAAAAAGAACACGAAGAGACATATGGACATAACGGTTAAATCTATTCAACGCCAATATCAATCATCGGAAAAATTTATTTTAAATTTAGTGAAAAAATAGAAAGGTTTCATCGACTTAAATCCTTTCATATTTTATGGCCGCGGGAAGAACACATGGGGACATAAAGACGTAATGGCTAAGTTAACTCCAAGTCTATTCAACGGCAACATCAAGCAGTGGAAAATTTTTTTAAAAATTTAGTAAACGATTTTTCAGATTTCCTCTGAAGGAATAGTAAAACTGGTTAGTGAAAAGGAATAGAAATTTGCACTTTAAGCGGTATTCACCATAGAATTTAAATTATGAGTATGAGATATCAACAAAGCTGTTTTAATCTATATATATAATGGGTCGTAGAGAAGAGAAAATGTTCAAGTGAGGAAAAAACTAAATCAAGATAGAGTAAAATGGATATGTCGCGATTGCCTAATAAATCATCTAACATGACTTGTATTAATCTACAGTACTGAAGCAAGCCGAATTTCTCCGGAGTTTCAAGCAGCCAACGTCGCTTTCTACTTGTCAAGCAGAACATGCACACTGCCGTCTTGATTGCTGCTGTTACTTTTAAATCTGACGTAGAAAGATTAGTCCTTCTCTTATTCATTGCCAGGACCGCTGCGCCTAAATCTGGCATAGAGATCAAAGTCACAACATTAGTCCTTCTCCAATTTATTATCAGAAACTTGTCATTAACGAACGCTTCCGAGTAAAAAAAAACGTTTTATAAAATTTATAAAATAGCAAACATGTACAAAAATTCTAAATTATTTACTTAGGCTAGGAACGCTTGTTTTAAGCACCATCTTCAAATTAATAATAGGAACGGAGTTATTTGAACCAGTTCAATATTTGAAAGGTCAACATATTCCAGACTCGCTGGCAAGATAATGTCCATTTTTATTATTTAAAAGCTTTCATTTCACTTATAACTTGGAATTAAATATATTTTACTGCGTTTAGAACTTTGTTATGACCTTATAAGACAAAGAAGCCAGAATTATACTTTTTTCTTTTTTTTTTGTGTTCATAAAAACATAGTTCGATATTGTTTCGAATTAATTACGTAGTAGTATAACATTTTCGAAATTCATTAGATCGCACAGTACACGTACAGTGTACGTGTGAATCTCTTGAAATTTCAAAGAGAACTTAAATAAATCCTCTTCTTACTCTCTCTCTCTCTCTCTGTCACTCTCTCATACAATCATGTACCGAAAATTCGAACTTTGCAAACTACATTAAATTTACTCTGAAACTGGTTTCACTTTGTATTTTGTGTTGCTCTTTTGCAAAGAAAAAAAAAAAACAAAAAATAATTTACTTAGCTCCCATATTCGAAAAATTTCCCAGGAAGATAAATGGCCACCCTTGCTTTATTGCTATGGTTACAAAAGTGTGACAGAAATAGCTTAATATATCTTTAAGTATATAAACCTATTTTCTATTTCACTTCCTCATATCATATACGAAGGTTTTTTTATAATGGCTTTTTTACGGATACGTAAAGTTTATCTTGTCTTGCACATAAGGTGGCGTTAAAAAAGAAAAATAAAATACAATAAGCAAAAAAAAAAAAAAAAAAAACAGCAGAAGAGAAGAGAAGCTAGCGTCACATATGCACATAAAAGTGGGAGCTTGCTTATTTGTTTGTTTGTTCGCGACTGTTATTGGCATTATTGTTATTGTTGTTGTTCTATAGTTTTTTATTGATGCTCTGATATTTGTGATTTGAATTATGCCCAAGTAGTCAAAGTGAAACATTGGCGCTTTGAGCACGTTTTCGCGGCTAGTACTTGGATAATAAATAAAAGCGGAAAAATTTTTTTTAAATACACACACACATAGATATATTTATTATATATTTATTTATGTTTAAGTAAAGTGTGATAATAAGATATTAATTAAAAAAGTAAAAACAAAAAAAAAAAACAAAAAAAAACGTGGAAATATTTATGAACAGCATTATAATCGATATCATTAAGTACAGATAAAAACTGACAGATAAGTCAGATATTTTTGCTTTTTTTTTCATTTCTTTTTTTTTAAGGCAAACTTAGTTGAAATGCAGAAATGCACTAATTCAGCTGCTTAACTAACATGCACACTCATATGTATGTGTGTAGAAATAAATAAATAAATAAATAGTGATGGATAGTGAGAGAGAAAAGTACTATAAGTGCTTTAGTGATGGCGATTAAAATGAATTTTCTTGCCGTTGAGTGATCATTAATTAACCATAAAATCGGTTTGCATTACTTGAACTAACAGTTTTAATTTAATAACAGCAGCAGCAGCAGCAGCAGCAACAACAACAACAACAATAAGAAATATGTATTAAAAATTTTGAATAAAGAGATTATTATAAATAATGTTAACACCAACAACAAGTGCAATACACTCTAAAACGGAACATAGAAACAATGAAAAAGAAAGGATTTGCAAATAACACAAGGACAGTGCTCTAGATAATCAAAGGTCAAGAATAAGAAAGAGTGTCGAAGAAGATAATCATTTAACAAATATGTCGTTTAACAAATCATTACCTTGACTATTAAGAAAAACTATTGTGCGTTCGCTTGCGGTAAACAGGAAAAACAATTATGTTTGAACAATAAAGTATAAAAGTTGTCAACATTGCTATTATATGCGAAAATTTACGATCTAGTTTTCAATTCGAAACATATAAGCGGAAAATGTGAGTTCTAAATAACACAAAAGTACAAGCGAACCTGCGAGGTAGCAAAGAAAAATCAACTGCTGCGCAGAGATCTTTGAATAAACATCTGCGGAGATAGAAGAAGAATAGTATAGAGAAGCAATTATCCACATTTTATAACAAAACTTTGGAGATGAACAATGTAAAACAAATGGAAAGTAAACAATAAATAAGAGAAGAGAAAAAAAGTATATACACACACACACACACACACACACACACCAGTAGAAACAGAGATAGAAAAAGCGACGGTATTTTGCCATTTTCGAATGTTTATTGGTTGTTGTTTTATTAAGCACAACATCTTCTGGTAAAAGAGTTTTTCATTTCACATATTCTTGGCGCTAAAGCGCGCGATCATACAACAACATGTCGTCGTCGTCGTCGTTACGTTAATAGATCATTCCGTGGTAGTTGGAGAACAATTTACGCGATATTAGGCGATTGTGTATCAGTTTCAATGCAATTTAATAATATGTTAAGCAATTAATGGAACCGAGGAATAATTCTCCCTAATCAGCATATATTGTAAATACGGACAAAAGCAGCTGATTTGAATCTGGATGAGAAACAGTTTATAATTTATCAAAGTGCATGTACTTGTGTGGCCCATTTTACTTGCAAGTTCACTGTAATTAATAAATAACGTTTCTACGTGACCTTTAAACGCATATCTAGAGTAATCGGAATACTTTTTCAATAAAGTCCGACGCAATTCGGTGAGTAATGTTAATTTTCACAAACTTTTAGTTTATTTCTGAACTTTCACAGAAAATTAAAATGTACGGTAGAGAATCTTAATTATCCATAATTGATACCCTCTACGGTGTTATCTAACGATTAACTCGGGAACTTGTATAACTTTTTGTTACATTTTTAAGAGAGTTTACAGCAGAAAATTAAGTTTGTTCTTATAGCTATAGTTGTCGATAAAAGATTGGAGGAAATTGTGTTTGATATATATATATATATATATGCATCCGAGTTTGGATTAATTTGATCATATGTCCCTCCATCCCTTTCTGTCGGCCAGTTAGTGCAATTTTTAAAGTCGCAATTATTAAGACGGAGAGCTGAAATTCGTCCCTTCTTCGGCATACGTCATTTAATGATAAAATTCAAAGCAAGACTTAGTCTGAGTGTAATAACATAATATTCTGAAATTCTTTTCTTTGAGAGCTACAATAGTGCTTGCATTTTGGATTGGTCCAAATGCTTGAAGGCTAGCTGAGGTTTTCGAAAAGAACAATGATTAGACACTTGGTCTAAGATGCCGGAAAAAAACAACAAATTGTATGCAAGCTAAAGTAAGTCGTAGATTTTTTCCACAGCAAATTTTTTGCTTGTACTTAGTAGTTAAATGCCTATTAATACTAACAAATGTTTGGAAAGGTTAAAGGAGAGGAAAATTTTATGGTGTTATTTGATCAGTTATAAAATGCATACGATTTATAACCAATATACATTGGCCGGCTGTAGAAAATAAGCCTACAAAAAAAATATCTGTTTAAAGTTCAAGACAAATTTTTTTCATCTCTTCCGTAAAGCGTTTTGTGATTTCGCAAGTTAGATAGCGTAAAAAAAGTTACTTAGATTTATTAGTTCGTTTGTAGGGAAAATCAAAGGAATTCCTCTGCCTCAAATTAAAAAAAAACCATTAGAATTAATTCATTTAAGTGTAGGTTGCGCGCTATACTGAGTACAATTAGTTTGAAAGGCAGTAATCTTTCTTTACCTTACCATTACATAGGCTAAAAACTTATTTATTAGAAATACACCATCGCTCACAATTTTCGACCGCTTTCAAAATGATGGAGTAAGTGAGAAATTGTAGATTGGAACCTTCCAAAATAAATTCTTTGGAATTAATTAACTTAAAATTAAAAGAAGGAATCAAACTGAGTCTCTTGCAGGCAAAGATATAAAACTTATTCGCTAGAGTAAAGGCCACCAAAATTTTATAAAAAGCGGAGAAATATTTGCACAGATGTTCCCAATCGAAATGGGTCAGAATTTGCAACTTGTTAAGAATTTTCGCTATCATTGAACTCAATTTGTGGAACATTTTCAATTTTTTATAGTTATAGTAACGGCTTTTGCGTACGGCTGTTATAAATTAGTTCCCATATACGAATTATATTAAGAAGTGCACTCTGTACGATAACTCAGGACAAAATGTTGCTCGGCATAAAACGCTAAATCGCACGTCAGCTGATATATCGGAGAAATATTGCATGCAATGTGGAAGTCAGTCATGCTTATGGAACGTATTCATATTGAATGTAACTTACTTCGTGTTAGTTTGTAATTCCACCACTAGAAGTCATTTTGGATCCTCATATTTCATTTCCGTCATCTTGACCGCTGGCAAGTATGGTGCAACCTCTTCTCTGGGAGTACGCAAACTCCTTTTCAATGCCTTGTTGCTTCTTGAATGTAAGCGTCTGTAAATTTTTAGAATTCAGCCTGTGTTTTGTTTTTCCAGCTCTTTTCGGACGTATTTTCTATACTTTTTTCATATCATACGTGATTGAACTTTGGAATTTATTCTGTGATTGGAACCAACTTACAAGATGCATTCAGGAAGAAAAGGAGACTTTATATTTTTCTCGAAAAATCTATATTTATTCATCAAACTCTACTTCGGCCCCTTCTCCATCACTTGTGCCAGCGTTTTTCCCCCTGCTCAAAGCGATATGATATGCGCTTCTCGATTTGGCCTTGAGTTCTTTCAGCGATGCGTTCCTTAATGGTGGAAAGACTTTCTCAAGCAAACCGGAACACTTCCAGCCTTCATGACTATCAAAAACAAACTAAAAATACAAAATGGATGATAAAGCCAACATATGCGGCGTACCAATATAACAAAAGGAAAAATTCGAAAATCGAATGTACGTAGTCCAAGCAATTGTAAAAACCAGCTTTTGTTTTTTAACACACGTCGTATATGAGTAAAATAGTCATGCTCTCCGGATTACAGCGACAATTTACTCCTTCGACTACACTTTGAAGATTCATCCGTTCAAATTGTGTGTTGCTCCAGGCATAACATTCATTAATACAAGAAGCGCAAACGTTTGTTAAAACATCTCTTGAACGGTTTCCTTTTTGCTTCCGTAGCTGAATATTTCTTCATTAGGTGCTAGGAATTTCTTAGCAAACGTCTCAAATAAACCCCGCTGAAGTAAAATAATGATTCAAGATGGAGAGAATTAAATTTCCAAAGACAGCTAAAGGATCACAAACATGCAATATGTGTTAAGAAGATAAGCGCAGACAAATGATCAATGAACGAATAATCATAAACCACAAAAAAAACATCTTTAATGAGCAGCAACAATACCAAAGGAATATGAACTAAGTACTGAAAGCACTTACGATTCTCATTAACTAAGTCATTAAGACTATTGTCATTTAATTGTATTTGCTCTAATAACAAAAGATTAATAAATAAGTCTATACCGTCGGAGTATTGCAAGGTTTGTTCCCGATCTAATATTGCTTGTTACGCGCTATCACAGCGTCGCCAGATCAAGCACAATCCCAGATCTCCTAAAGAAAACTAAATATAGGCGAAGTTAAAAGTTTTTTGTTTTTCAGAAGAGCAGACGGACACATTTTTCCTATTTGACAACTCCGTTACGAATAGAGTGAGAAAATTACTTTACCCCTCTTTCATATTACTGTTGATACTTGTAGCCACGACCGTCGTCACAACGTGAAGAAGGCATGTTTCATAAAACAGTGACGGCTCGATGTGGGCGGATATTTGTGAATTTGTTATTTGCAATGAAATAAAATTTGTTTCGTACGTATAGTATGAGCAAGTCACTGTTTTAATTAAACTAATTATTACCGAAAAAATTGCGTGTCTGTTATCAAATGCAAAGAATTTTCACTTCATTAAAATGAATGCAACGTATTTTTTTTTTTCTTTTTGCCTTTACTGGCACTCGCCTCCGTAATAATTAAGATCCATACGCTCGACGAGTTAAGGGGAAAAAGTACCAAAATGAAAAAAGTCACAAACAAAAAAAAAAAAAAAAGAAGAAAACACACGCACATACAAGAAGTACGGCCAACGAAATGTTAGCACGGGAGAGTGAAGAAAAAAGGAACCAAAAAAATAAGAAAAAAAAAAGAGGAAAAAATTTCAAAAAAAAAAAAAGTTTCAAATGTGAAAAATAACCAACAACGAGAATAACTTGAAGGGAATTAAAAACATATGATATGAAGTGGACGAGACGAGTAGAGAATTACAAAAATAAAAGAAGAAGAAAACATACATAAACGTATAAAGGTATGCACATCTAGGCGAACGCATAAATATTTGTTTATATATATATATATATATATATATATATATGTACAGATGTTTAAATGGAAGTTGGTTTTAATGAATGTCTAGTGGGCAGTACAGCGATATTGGATGTGTTGTTGTTTTCAACTTGCTGTGGTTTGCTGTTTGCACTTAACAAAAAAAAAAAAAAAAAAGGAAAAAAAAAGGAAAGGAAAGGAAAAAAAGAAAATGAAAAACAGAGAAAGATTAAAAACGTTCAACTTTCTAATGTAAGTTAAGAAAAATCAAGCAAAGTTACCTAAACAAGTTGCAGCTTACTGTGCAGCTTGCTGCGAAGCGTTTGTTGTGTTTGTTTAAGTTCACAGAAATTAAGAACCAATCAAGACTTTGACTTCGCCTTAAAGCGATTTTTTTTTAATGAATTAAAAAAAAAAATAAACTTGAATTTTAGTTATCGGCCCTCTCTACTACGTTTCAATTTGTAAAAACGCCTCGATGGTTTCGGTTCTTTTTCTTTTCTTTTCTTTACTTTTTTTTTTTTTTTTCTTTTTTAAGTTTGCTCAGGAATTTCGCATGTTTTCTGTGTAGAGCGTAGAAAATTGAAAAGAAATTCCGAAACACATATGTGTGTTTGCTTATAAAAACAAAAGTATTATTTTTTCACGTAACTATTTGCATGATGCACACGCAAACACACATTGAAAATTACAAACAACCTCCATAGCACTTCTTCTTCACGAAAATATTTCATTTTAAGATTTTTGCTTTGTTGTTGTTCTTGTTGTTGGTGTTTCAATGTTACCCTGACGTATGTTTTCACTTTCTTTAGTGACAGACACATACTGTTCAATGGCAATAACAACAAAAAAAGGAAACGACATGTGCGTATTCAAACGCTCAGACCTCACTCAAAACAGTTACGTAATGTGGAACTAACAGTCGGGTATTGCTATATATGTATACAATGAATTAACTTTCCGCTGGTTAGCATTGTAGCCACCAGCCTGTAGAGATAATTGCCATAGATGGAACGATTGACTTTGCTCCCTAGGAAAAATTCAAATCAGTCGAGTGACTTTAGGACTATGACAAGAGCATTCCTTCATATAGTTAGCTAGAGTCTTGTAAGGATTTGAGCAGATAATCATTACCAATTTTTCCACATCACAAAGTACGAAAGCTGCATTTGCTTTGAAGTGAAAACCAACACAACAATGTGTCTTATCATAACTATCACAAGCAGGTGTATGAGGACGGGCCGTACTCAAAAAATGTCTACTTTCTTCATCACCGCAAGCATGGGAATTTTGCTCGCTTTCTTTATACGCTTTCTATGTACTTCCATCCATCTATTGAAATCGCTATTGTGGACCTCAAATTTTATCTAAAAGTAGATTGTTTTGGGTTTTCTTTCTGTTT